ACCGAAGTGGGTTACATCGATCGTGCAGTGTATCATATGCAGGGCTCCAGATAAAGGGCCATGTCGGCGTATGTACGTACAACAAATATGCACGATACGGTAGGAAATAATTTAGAAAACGAAGCAGATACGCACCACGGCAATGGTCTAGGGTCTTAGAATCATTTACAGACGTATTTATTTGAAAAAGTATTGTTTTATTATTTATTGACCTGTTTACACAAGAGTAGCAATGTTGTGGTGCATATACATGTATGAAACGAAACACAAGATTACTGATACGCCGTTAACTTCCATTCAGTACTCTAAATGTACTCTTTAAGGTTTTCCAGTACTCCTATATTGAACAAATAAGGAGTACGTACTCCTGATGTTGAAAAATTATCTGGAGCCCTGGTATCTCATTCTTTTCATGACAAATACCCCGAATGGGCAAAAGAAAGATTAATACACGTGGACATGTTTATAACGGGCACATTCCATGTAGGGATTATGTCTATGTTCTCTTTCATTTGACAAAACGGAACCAAAATCAACCTCTGGAAATTATCAGCGTTCGAAACGCCTGCCCGACCGCCCGTGACGGGTTATTTTCAACACGGACTGCCAGATTCTCAAATTCACCTGCTCGACGGTCGGGTTAAAATTAGACATGTACATGTATATGAAGATATTTTATGGGCAGGCAAGTTTAAATCAGGGCTGGTAAGTTTTACATCTGACCAGCCCTGTGGTCTGGCTCAAATTTTTGGAAGTTTCATACCCTGATCATGAAAATATGTTTTCCACCATATTTATGTATGGGTACAAAGCTGGCTGGAAAGGGGTGAAATCATGAGGTCTTGAAACAGATGATGATTATTAACCAGATTTGGTAAAAAAAACAGATTGTAATGACAGAAAACGGAACTGGAATTGATAAAGGAAATTACGTCCAGGTCATCTCTGGCAGGTCGGGTATGAATTTTCTCCCTTAATTAACTGTCGCAACCTTAACATATGTTATATTTGAGAATACACAATGCAACATTTTACACTTGCCAATTTACACTTGTCAGAGGGGTACACAAGGCACGTGATTTAGACTACTAGTTGTCCAACTTCAATGTTTTAAGACCGCTGAGTTTGTGTGCTGGTGATTAGACTGACTGACTGAGTTTGGTTTTACGCCGCTTTTAGCAATATTCCAGCAACATCACGACGGGGGACACCAGAAATGAGCTTCACACATTGTACCTATTTGGGGATTCGAACCCGGGTCTTCGGCGTGACGAGCCAACGCTTTAACCATTAGGCTACCTCACCGCCCTGGTGATAAGATGCCTGACTTTGAGAGATAGACTTCGAGTCCCGGATGGGACTCAACCCAGTATAAATTAAAGACTATACTGAGAAAGTGTAATCCCAATTATAACACATGTTATATTTGACCACTGTGTAATAGCATTATGCATCCATAGCTTTCGCGTCGTGGGAGTTATAAGTTACACTTGTGAGAGGAGGGTGATGTGAAATGGGGTTTACCGTCGCAGTTAAGAATATTTCGCTCATTAGACGACGTGCATGTGCGGCTGCTTGTACTATAGCTCAGACTTAAGCTGGTTTTATAGTGCTAGCCCACTGAGATACCATGCCGCAGTGAAGCATGAATACCCCACTCAGGCACATTATACTGACTCCGAGCCGACCAGTCCTTGTTGTACCCATGAATGTCGAGCGCCAGGCAGGGACCAACAAGTACCATATTTTAACGTCTTTTGGTATGACGCGGTCGGGAATCGAACCCGCGACCCTCCGCTCTACCCACTACACCACGGAGCCGGTCGGTACACAGGGTACATGATCTAGACACGTAGTCCACCTTCTATTTTTCCATTACTGAGAATGTATAATCCCAAATATAACCTTACATTTCACCTCTTTCTAAATGGCATTTATTCGTGTATTCATGTCACAATTTGGTCCTATCTGTTACTTTTCAAACGTTTGCAGAAGATTCAGTCAGGTCAAAAATACACATTCACACAACTGGGTTGGCATGTCTCCATCATAACAAAATGTCAACCTTCCTGGTCAGTTTTATAACACGATGCTAAAAATAGCTGTCCAATCAAAACACACTCATGAGCGAGAGAAATTCGGTGCTAGGTTGGTGTTGTCGAAGAAATACATGTGAGGAAGTCGCGCACAAGACAAAGATATTGTGGCGATCGGGTCCACGGTATATGTAAACATATGGAGATATTATAACTTGGATTATCCATGATGTAAAGATTGTAGAGAACTTTGTAGATAGCAGAGAAATAGATCTACCCTAAGAAATGCCCTCATCAACGATGGTTAGCATATATAACGTAAGAATTGATGCGCCAGTTCCAAAACTACACATGGTTTGCAATAGTCCAGTGTGTCAACTCTTGATATTCCGGCTTGCTATTGGTGTATTCCCACGGGATCATGTATAATTCCAATAGTTTCATAGTTAGATAATCATAACGCATGCGGCTGGATGTGTGGCATATGTCTCTCTACAGCATACTGGTCATATTACACTCTGGGGCGGATCCAGATGGGGGGTGCGTGGGTGCGCACCCCTCGATCCTCCTCCCCCGAATTTTTTGCCCCTGAGAATCATTTCCCAGGGGCCCCTAACCTTTGGATTCATGATTGATGTGCACCTCCCACCCTACCCACCCATCCCCCACCCCATCCCAACCCTCCTCCAAAATTCTGGATCCGCCCGTTATGTTGAGTACGTGCATGACCGTGTGTGTGTCTAACATAACTATCATGTCTAGGTATAAATATTTGTTAGTCGACTAGATTGATGGGTGACTGTGTTTAGCAGCCAGACTCATGAGAGATGATCGGCCCACACAGTGTGTAACTGAGTGAGTTGGGTTTTACGCCGCTTTTAGCAATATTCAAGCAATATCACGGCGGGGGACACCAGAAATGGGCTTCACACGTGCCCATGTGGGGAATCGAACCCGGGTCTTCGGCGTGACGATGCTGTGGATCGTGACGCCTTAGTCGAATGGACTCATGTGTCAAATATGAAATATGTATACATGTCTTTGGCTGAATGTTACAGTGGGAATGCGCCATGGATTTTACGTCCGCATCTTTGATTTTCTCCACATCAGCGTGGTACAATTTGCTTTTCGTAGTTGTCTCCCTTTGGTTCCGTAACGTTTTGCCTAGTGAACGCAGGGCTGCTGCTCCCAGCCAAAGTGGACCAGCTTTAACAATCGGCTTATAATGCCAAAAGGGTGGATTTTTTTTTACAGATGGCTCTTACCTACGTATGTAAACTCACAACTCCGTGATGTGTTAGACAATGTTAAAGGTCATCCGTATTGCTATCCGTTTCTCACCTACAACCATGAAAATCAGTGAGACAAAGCTGTTGGTTTTTTTCGTTGGTTTTGTGTTGTTTTGTTAGGTGTTTGTTTTATTGTTTGTAATGTTTTTGTGGCTTGTTTTTTGCTGTGTGTTTTTTTTTAATTTATTTATTTATTTATTTGTTTATTTATTTATTTTTTTTTAAATTGTTGGCTGGTTGGGTTTTTTCTTATTGTTGTTTTGTTTTGTTTGGAGTTTTGGGGGTTTTTTTTGTTGTGGGTAAGGGGTGAAGTAATATTTCAGGGAGGGCGGTAGAATTGAAACACAGACAAATATACTGTATGGCATATTTCATTTTTTAAATATTAAAGTACCTGAGATGATACAGGGTAGAACTGGCCTTCACAACCGATGCATGTCGTTAGAGAAGACTAACGGGGTCGGGTGGTCAATCTCGTTGACTTGGTTGATGCATGTCATCGTATCTCAGTGGCAAAGATCAATGTTCATGATGTCACTTGATTGTCGATAATCTTTAGGCACGAGTAATATACATGTAGTTTGATAATCACTGAGTGCGACTTAAGAGAAAAAACAAATAGAACAACCCCCAGCTGAGACCGATTCAGGATCGATGGGAATAAGACGTTTGGCCAGACAGGAGTCACACGTATTATTGAATGAAAACAGTACTTAACGTTCCTTGTAAGAAGCTTCCACTGTTCTGCCCTGTCCTCTGCGTCCGTGGTCTAACGGGTAGGGCATCTGCCCAGAGAACAGAAGGTCGATGGTTCGATCCACTGGCTCCCTGGTACCAAAAGACATAGGATGATACTTCTTAGGGTAAGTCTTTGAATGACAGTTAGAAGTGATACACAGAGAGAATTTATGAATGACTAAGGAGTAAGCATATTCTTCGGAATGGTCTGTTCAACGTATTAAAGAAGTTTATTTACACATGAAACTTTCTATTATTGGTTTAGGTTCCCTGCTTTGTGCGGCATTTATGATCGTTTCTTGCCGAACTTCAACACATTACCAAAATTATTCATTTAAACTGAGGGAAGAAAAAATAACAATGTTTAAGTGTTGCTCGTGCGTTGACAATACAAGTAATTCTTAATTACAAATGGACTGATGCAGGTGTCTAGTGTATATATTCAGGGGTGGATCCAGATTTGGGGGGGGGAGGGAGGGTGTGTGTGCGCGCACCCCTCCTCCTCCCCCGAATGTTTTCCCCCTGAGAAACAATTCCCGGGGGCCCCTAACCTTTGGACTTCATGATTGTTGCGTGCACCAGCCCCCTCCCTTCCCCCCTCCTTCTCCAAAATTTTAGATCCGACCCTGATATATTGTGTGCGTGCGTACATGACCGTGTGTGTCTAACATATCTCATGTCTAGGTATAAATATTTGTTCAGCTGACGTTGTACATAAACGTTGAAGATAATCAGGATTTGTTTAAGCGAATACAACTCAAACGATTGGCATAACAATCAGACTTTGGTGTGTATAAATAAGTATGAAACACGTGGCATTTGTTTACTTTTTTAAAACAAGCGCGAAAAAGTATCAGTTGTCATTAACGATTTTTTAACCAATCAACAGTTGCCAACCTCTCAAGTGAGGACCTTTCTAATTCTACTTCCGGCTTTAGATTCGTCGGCTGTTCGAACAGAATGTGAATATGTGGCGACCTGTAAATCAGATTTATTTCGTGTTAACGCTATATTTTACAATTTATCCATCCCAGTCAGTTCTGGAATGGTTGTTTGGATCCGATTCACAGCAGAAAGAAAATGGTGACGTGAAACAGGGGTCAGGCGCCAGGTTTGAAGTCATCTCGACAGACGAACATTTTCTTGAATTTGCCAAAACATTGAAGGATTTATCTACATTGGATGCATGTAATCAGATAGTGAGTACAGTATCGTCACCTTATTTGTCTGCACACAGTTGACAGGGTATTACACTTCTTCTAGATGTTTATTTTGGTAATATTCTAAAGCCTAGGTACATCAAAACACGATCATGGTGAACCGTTAAAACTTAAATATCCAGATACGTGTCATGTAGATATGAATGATTTAGGCATGTGTCATAGATTTAAATGTTGGGCAAAGTCGAAATATAAAGCTGCACATACTTGATTTTAGTGTTGTAGCCCTTGGGCGTGTTTTTTTCCAAACTTTCCTAGTCCTGCGAGAATGTACAAGTATTTAATTGCAGTCAATAATCAAAGATTCCTGCATGTTGCGTTTCTCTCCTTAGATCTTCAGTAGTGACGAAAACAAGCACGTGGAGATATGAATATATTACTTTCACTCAGTCTTATGCTCAGGGGGCGGTGGGGTAGTCTAGTGGTTAAAGCGTTGGCTCGTCACAACGAAGACCCGGGTTCGAATCCCCACATGGGTACAATGAGTGAAGCCCATTTCTGGTGTCCCCCGCCGTGATATTGCTGGAATATTGCTAAAAGCGGCGTAAAACCAAACTCAGTCAGTCAGTCAGTCAGTCAGTCTTATGCTCAGACGACTGTATAGTTTGTGTTACTATAAGTACTGCTAAAAGTTTGTGTTCGACCCGTAAAACCAGTGGTTGATCGCATGAATAACCTCCAACACTTGGATGAACTATTATCCCAGTGAGTGAGTGAGTTAGTTTTATGCCACAGTCTGCAATATTCCAGCTTTATGGCGGCGGTCTGTAAATAATCGTGTCTGGAACAGACAATCCAGTGATCAACAGCCTGAGCATCAGTCTACACAATTGGGATGTGATGACATGTGTCAACCAGGTCAGCGAGCCTGACCACCAAATTACGTTAGTTGCCATCTACGACAAGAATGGGTTGCTGAGGACTAATTCTAACACGGATCGTCACGGTTATAATATGTTAGGAATACCTTCACATTATCATAGGCCATCATCATGATTACTCTGCAAACCCGACCACTCGATCTGGAACATCTGGTGTTTTCTTGATTATCACATGAACAACTGTATTACATGCCACTAACTTATTAAAGATAGCTTTGAACACAAACTATCATCCGAGTGTGTACTATGTCTTTTGGGCACAAACGAGCTCAGTATAGCAAGAGTAAAATGTATAACATGTGAAAACATATAATAAGAAGATAATTTTCTCAAAGTATTTCCACTTTAGAATCGTGCACTCTGTAATATTGCAGGAGTTAATTTATGTTGATCATAATGTCAAATCTGCAATACACATAATATTTTCTTGAGGTTTTTTTCATGGTTGCTTCTTGTTAACTTCTTGTTGCCCCTTCTGCGACTATATCCACTAGTCAGAATCCTAGTATACTAATCTGCTGTACCATTTACATGTTGTTTCAAGCATTTTTATTCAATCACACAGGTTGTTTTCAACTTGAGGAAAAAATGTGGTGATCTGTCTGAAGAGGAGCTGGGTAAACTAGCCGTGCAGCTTCTCAACTGTCAGTCCGAGGCCGAGCACAGACCTGTCTTCCCCTGCACAAGCTCTATGGTGAGATTTGTACTTATTATAGTAATCACCGAAGCCACACAGTACTCACATGTTTTCATTCATGTTGGATATTGATACTGCTACCTAAGAAGACTGAGAATCAGAACTATTGCAGTTGGAAGAATTATTCCTGACTATCGATATGAAAATTGTATCATTGATAATATCTTACATTTAACATTTGTGATGAAATATAGTTATATATGCAAACACAGACATGTGCTGAAGACAATGCATTCTGTTGATCAAGTTGAACTGTATTCATAAGCTAGATTAGACAGAGGCCCAGATAAGCTGCGTATCCGGGTAAAATACGCATAGAAAATTTCCAATTACACATTGAAAAATAATTGTTGCGTACCAATTACGTATTTAGATGCTAGATAGGCAAAAATTTAAAACAAATGCGTACGAAATATATTTATAAAAATCGCTTGCGTAATGAAACAGACATCGATTGCTATCAAGTTGTACTGTTAGTATAGGGCAAGTGTTCTGTCAGTATAGGATGAGTGATTTTTTATGAAATCATTTCCATTATATTTAAGTTGGTTTTGATTAGGTATGACATAAGGCAGAACATACCTGCTTAGTAAACTTACTCAATGACATAATACTTAGGTGAGTAAAATGACTGAAATACGCACATATTTGAAAGCAGTGGGTAACGGAAAATGAAATACCCACTCAACATTCATAATACCCACTCTAAAAAAATGCAGTGGGTACAGTACCCACATGAGCTAAATCTTATCTGAGCTCTGTTAGATGCAGGGATGTTTATCATATTGTATGGTAATCTCCTTTCAGACTCTGGCGTCGTGTACAAAGCCCATGGACACTACCACATGGAACACCTACCAGATCGTGAGTAACCGAGCACGTGCCATGTGTTACGAGGCACAGCAGACGCAATTCCATCGTCTCACAGAGGCCACAGTCAACAACCTGATGACCAGTGCCCACGGTCAGACCGAGGTCATGAAAGAACTGAAGGTAAGCATGTCAACAAATATTGTACCACATGGGGATCCCATGTGGCATTTTGATTTTTTTATTATTTGTATCATTTTACTTTAGTCTACGCTGAAATCCATTCAAAATGATCATGAGGATATTTTCCTCCAAAACTGATTGACAAGATGGCAGAAAGACAAAGTAGTTTTTGTTTCACATAGTAGGGGGCAGTGGGGTAGCTTAATGGTTAAAGCGTCCGCTCATCACACTGAAGACCCGGGTTCGATTCCCCACATGGGTACTATATGTGAAGCCCATTTCTGGTGTCCCCCGCCGTGATATTGCTGGAATATTTCTAAAAGTGGCATAAAACCAAAGTCACTCACTCACTCACATAGTAATCTCCCTTGAATTTATGACTATCCTGGTATGTTGCTAAGTATGGCAATGAAGATAAGTGTGTTGCAATATAGCACAATACTGATAATTATTCCTTATCCTCACTCATACTAATTGGTTTACTCTTCATTCTGCCATCAAGTGTGGTTGACAATCCCTGTACTGTTCTAGCCTTGAAACAAAAAATGCATCTCACCCTTGACCCGTGCCGGCACATCAAAACCACATCACCAAGCCAGTTGACTGTCACATTTTCCATTTTCACCAACTGTGCATGTTTGGTATTTTCACTGTGCTACAATTGGAGTCATCCATCTAAATTTCTGTTTTGTTCCAACGTTTACCTCGGAATACATTTTTCTAAATTAGATATATTATATACATACACTTCCCTGTCATATTGACGTCACTGTGGTGTGTGTCAGGATGGGCAAGAGCAGCTTCATCTGATGACCACCGAGACGATACGGAAGCTGTTTGAGAGCCAGCAGGAACTGCTGATCACCCATCAGAGTCTACAATCAGCCCAGGAGGGTGTGTTCACACACATCAAGGACAACATCCAGGAGCTGACCAAGGAGAAGTCCCTCATTGCCACAGGGAACAAGGAACTTGCCAGCATGACACAGAAGATTAAACAGGAGCTTGGTAGGATCTGATTTCTACAGGCTTGAAAAGTCCTTTGTATTAAACAGCTTCGCTCGTAACCGATCGAGAGCTTCGTTTTTCGAGTATGTTCCCGAGATCATTCTGATGTTTATATACCTGTTCAAGACATGATTATATATTATTATGTACATGTCTTGTGTGTAAAAACCAAGTGCATTGTAGTTGTAAGATCAATTAAATGTATCATTGTAATATTTAACAGTTATAGTTCGCTCCAGTATTCAGCTCTAATTGTCCCGTGATCTACCGGAGTGAACTATAGTTACAGAAACATCAGAACTATCTCAGGAATGAAGCTCTCAATTGTTGATGGCCACGGCTGTCTACTACATAATTGAATTTACTTTTTCCCTTTAATCTGCTAAAAAGACCTTGGCCGATTCACCTGTAAAACCTTGAATGAAAAAGTTTGTATGCCATCTGTTTTTAATTGCTCTATTCACTGAAATAAGCACTCCACAAATTGACAAGGAATGTACTCACACAATTAACTTACCGGTACATACTGGCAGGGTGCTTATAATATGGTAAATATACAAGTAAGAATGTATCCACCAGGGGTGGAAATAACCCATTGCCCGACGCCCGAGTCCAGTGTTTTTTTCTGTCGGGCAAGCAAATTTGTATATCACACTGTACAGGTGTCCAGTTGACTTTCCAATGTTAATTATGTTGTTTATTTAAAAAATCAACAAGCAAATCGGCCAGTATAGTGGAAAAATTATCAGGGCAAGTGATTTTACTTGTGCCACTGTACCGGAGTACACTAGCAATTTTAAAGTTATTTCCAGCCCTGATCCACAAGAGACTGTGACTTTTCAAATGTTTGATGTTAGATACTAAATATTTCCTCAAGTTTGAGGTTGAGGAGATAAAGAGGTGTTCAAACATTCCAAGACAAAATCAGGGTTATAAACCTTGATCTTGTCTTGCCACGCTTTGGCTGTGGAAATGAGCACCTAAAATCCTTGTTATTGAAAACTTTATTCAATGATACTTTGATGATGATGATGATGATGATGTGACAGATCTGACCCGAGAACAGCTGCAGGACCAGGAGTCTGCCCAGAGACAGAACCATCAGACTATCCTAGAGGATCTCAAGAACATCCACAGCAGAGCCAAGGATGCCTTTGATAAACTTGGTACTGTCATATTCCGTACAAGAGTCTTACGGCTGACAAACACTGCATTTCCTAAGATGATTTTCTAACCCTACAATCACAACAATGTCATCTCTAATAACACAGTACATACAAGGGTTTATCATAAACAGTCACAAATAAATTATATCGAGATCTCTGACATGATACAGATGTCTTCCCAGTGTTGTATAGGTCTGTGACAAATTATGCACTTGTTACCATGGTTACAGAGGTCAGAATCAAGACCCTACTGTCCAGCCTTGTCTGCAATATGTTATGTTGTCATGGTAACTGAGTCAAGCACTAAGCAGTTACTCTCTAGCCATGGTTACTGATCCCCAGCACTTATTGCCCAGACTTGCCTGTCATGTCTCATGTTGCCATGGTTACAAACACCCGCACTAAGTGTCCACAGCCCAGTTTTGACTATTATCTGTCATGTTGCCATTGTTACAGATCTGCAGCACTAAGCACCTAATGTCAGTCTTGCCTGTTATGTATCATGTTGCCATGGTTACAGACTCCAGCACCAAGCACCTGCTGACGAGCCACAACAAAATGACAGCCAACTATGAGGAGATGTTCTCCAATCTGCAGAAGATCAACACGACAGTGACCAGCTTGCTGGGAGCCGTGGCAGAGATGCAGGAGAACATGGAAAGGAAGATAGGCTGGATCTCCCAGCTGTTGGGGGGAGCAGGTCAGTTGTTGTCCATACCTCCCAGGCCAGCCTGGAAAAAACACCCTTGTCTGCCAGCCACAGACTACTAAGTTGTGCTGAGGACAAGCGAAAATCCAATGATGTAGTCATTGACAACTAGTATTTGAAGGGGGGCGGCGGGTAGCCTAATGGTTAAAGCGTTGGCTCGTCATGCCGAAGACCTGGGTTCGAATCCCCACATGGGTACAATATGTGAAGCCCATTTCTGGTGTCCCCTGCCGTGATGTTGCTGGAATATTGCTAAAAGCGGTGTAAAACCAAACTCAGTCAGTCAGTCAGTAGTATTTGAAAGCTGTAATTCTGAACCAGTTCTCAATGATTCAGTTTGGCCCCAAATTAGAACTCAATAAAACTTATGAATATACAAACACAGTAAACATCTCTTTCATGTTCAATCTGGACTAACTTAAAAATAAGGACCAATGAAATAATGTTTACACTTGTCCATGACAAAAAAAAAAAAGGTTTGTCAGTGTGCAAGTGTATGATTTGGTTTGGGAGTCTAGTGATTCGAGGCATAGCAATTTTCTGGCCTGAAATGAATCTCTTAGGAATATCAGAGACCTAAGATCCTGGGTTTGAATTCCAGTTTGCCTTGATTGTGTTTGTTGGTTTGTCTGAACCATGCTTGTTATTGTACTGAAGTGGAAAATTTCAATCCCTACACAACTTGTTTTCTTCCCACGTTAAGCTGGCACAAGGTGATATAATTTTGATCTCTGAAATACTGTTTAGAAAGGTGTGTCACTCTGGAAACCATTCCACTAAGCAACTGTAGCCCTTTAAACAGTGTTTACTCTCCAACAAGGTTCCATATATTGAGAGACACAACTGATTTACAAGTCATAATATTGAGGATTGCTTTGTGAACCCGACCTAGGTCTTGAGTATGTTTTGAGTACATGCAATTATCATAATTATCATTGTTATTCACTTTCTGAAGAAAATTATACAGTATTGCATGGGTACAATTTTGACATTTTTAAATTTCATTGGAGTAGGTGCAGTACTTTAATACTCTATAAACAAAGGAGTTGTGATATTTGACTTGACACATTTCTGAGTTTTGTGTTTCACAGATGACAAACTGCAGCTGTTGACCAGCTGCGTGTTTCACATTGCGTACTTCCTGCTGATGGTAGTGGCTGCTGCATTCCTCCATCTCCCCGCTCTTCTCTCGCTTCCTCCTCCTGATTGTCATCGTCTCCAATGCTGCTGCAGAGATCAGCTACAGCACCAGCCTAGACTTCGCCGGCATGACAGCCTTCATCTTCTCGACATCTATGGGTAACTATACCTTTGTCTTGTACAACATTTGACTGACTGAGTTTGGTTGTACGCCGCTTTTAGCAATAGTCCAGCAACATCACGGCAGGGGACACCAGAAATGGGCTTCTCACATTGTACTGATGAGGGGATTCGAATCCGGGTCTTCGGCGTGACGAGCCAATACTTTAACCACTAGGCTACCCCACCCGCCCTGTACAACATTTGACATTTTCAGAATAAGAATGTTGTTGTTTGATATATGGATTAAAGAATTAATTTTGCAGAGTAATCAAAATGATGGCCTATGATAATGTGAAGGTATTCCTAACATCATACCCGTGAAGATACAGGTTAGAATTGGTCTTCAGCTACTTGACTAACGGAATCGCATGGTCAGACTCGCTGACTTGGTTGGCACATGTCATCATATCCCAGTTGCGTAGATCGCTGCTCATGCTGTTGATCACTGGAATTCTGGAATATTGCTAAAAGTGCATAAAACCCAGCTCACATATTCTTTCATACTCAGCCTACTGGGCCCTGACTTGGATCCGCAGCAACCTGCAGTACAACAGCTCACCAGGGTCATCGTCATCAGCAATCACATTCTCTCCATCTTCGTCTGGTCAGTCGGCACCATTGTCCTCTGACGAGCTGAGGGAGCTGACCAGCACACTAGGCAGGCTGTACAATACCAGTGAGTATTGTCTGCATTGCATGTTATGCAGCAAGGTATCGCGATACATAGCTCACGATATGTATCACGATACACATATTCACTTTGAGTGGAAACCTTTTGGATATAAATATTTCCATGCATGTTATAGGAGTGAAACTATACAGGAAGGCCACAGGTCATGGCCTAGATTTTCGAAACGTTAATAGCCTAAGAATTCTTAACTTTGGTCATAGCCAGTGTGTTAAGAATGGGCTTAAGAAGTTTGTAGGGCCATGAATGTTTCGAAAAGTCTAGTCCCATGATATGATTTCTATCAAGATACGTATATTCAAGTCAAATCGAGTGGAAACATTTAAGATATAAATATTTCAGAGCAGCTTCAAAAGGAAATGCTTTCTGTAGACAGATGTTCTTAGCGGTTATTACAATTCATTTTGAGATATTTAGCTGACCAAACGCTTTGGTAGGGAGTGTCATTAAATTAGTAGTAAGTACTTTAGCAAGTGTATCGTCTTGCAAGGGTACAGAAACAATTTTCATGCATGATTTTCCAACTAAAGTATGTAAAATTGTCTTTGCTCAAACTCTAATGATGGACTCTTTGATGATAGCCTCGTACTGTAGGTTATCGCTGTAGTTGCCTCTCCAGCTGAGTGTCCAGTGTGACTTTGCAGTGACTGACAGTCTGAACCAGAGCACCTCCCAGCCATGTGCTGGGGACGCCATCCCGGATGTCCGGACCCCCCAAGAAGTCCCCAGGAACAATGTCCAGCAGCCAGACAGTACTATTGAGGTAGGTGCAGTGTGTTGTACATCTCCACAAGATGTAACACAAGATGTAGATTCCTGCCCTGGTTTAATGGATAGAGCGTGTGCTCAGATAGTGTAAGGTCAGTGGGTCGATTCCCTGGCTAGGTCTTACTATGCTGAATGATGGTAGTTGTTACCCTGCCTAACATTCAGCATTATTAGTGAGTGAGTGAGTTTAGTTTTACACCGCTTTTAGAAACATTCCAGCAATATTACGGCGGGGGACACCAGAAATGGGCTTTACACTTTGTACCCGTGTAGGAAGATCAAATCCTGGTCAGCTCGCAGTCGCATGATGATGGTTCGAATGCTTTAACCACTAGGCTACCCCACTGCCCAGAGGATTATGAAGATAAAAGGACTGGTCAGCTTGCAGTCAGCATGATGTGTCAGGGTTCGGTATCCATGTTAATCTGCTTTGTTGTGTCTCCATGGAATACCACTATGAGCATGCTGTTTGTCCGAACAAGTACATGCTTCTACACAGAAGTGTGTGTCAAGATACGTGTGCACTATGTATGTGCAATAACCAGGGGTTCTGTGTTCAGCATTGTTTTACACAAGGGGTTCTGTGTTCAGCATTGTTTTACACTAGGGGTTCTGTGTTTAGCATTGTTTTACACAAGAGGTTCTGTGTTCAGCATTGTTTTACACAAGGGGTTCTGTGTTCAGCATTGTTTTACACAAGGGGTTCTGTGTTTAGCATTGTTTTACACAAGGGGTTCTGTGTTTAGCATTGTTTTACACAAGGGGTTCTGTGTTTAGCATTGTTTTACACAAGGGGTTCTGTGTTTAGCATTGTTTTACACAAGGGGTTCTGTGTTCAGCATTGTTTTACACAAGGGGTTCTGTGTTTAGCATTGTTTTACTCAAGGGGTTCTATGTTCAGCATTGTTTTACAAGATGTTCACAAGGGGTTCTATGTTCAGCATTGTTTTACACAAGGGGTTCTGTGTTTAGCATTGTTTTACACAAGTTTCCCACAAGATGTTCTATGTTGTCAGCATTGTTTTACACAAGGGGTTCTGTGTTTAGCATTGTTTTACACAAGGGGTTCTGTGTTTAGCATTGTTTTACAAGGGGTTCAGCATTGTTTTACACAAGGGTTCTGTGTTCAGCATTGTTTTACACAAGGGGTTCTGTGTTCAGCATTGTTTTACACACAAGCATCTGTGTTTAGCATTGTTTTACACAAGGGGTTCTGTGTTCAGCATTGTTTTACACAAGGGGTTCTGTGTTTAGCATTGTTTTACACAAGGGGTTCTGTGTTCAGCATTGTTTTACACAAGGGGTTCTGTGTTCAGCATTGTTTTACACAAGGGGTTCTGTGTTCAGCATTGTTTTACACAAGGGTTCTGTGTTCAGCATTGTTTTACACAAGGGGTTCTGTGTTTAGCATTGTTTTTACACAAGGGGTTCTGTGTTCAGCATTGTTTTACACAAGGGGTTCTGTGTTTAGCATTGTTTTACACAAGGGGTTCTGTGTTTAGCATTGTTTTACACAAGGGGTTCTGTGTTCAGCATTGTTTTACACAAGGGGTTCTGTGTTCAGCATTGTTTTACACAAGGGGTTCTGTGTTCAGCATTGTTTTACACAAGGGGTTCTGTGTTTAGCATTGTTTTACACAAGGGGTTCTGTGTTTAGCATTGTTTTACACAAGGGGTTCTGTGTTTAGCATTGTTTTACACAAGGGGTTCTGTGTTTAGCATTGTTTTACACAAGGGGTTCTGTGTTCAGCATTGTTTTACACAAGGGGTTCTGTGTTTAGCATTGTTTTACACAAGGGGTTCTGTGTTCAGCATTGTTTTACACAAGGGGTTCTGTGTTTAGCATTGTTTTACACAAGGGGTTCTGTGTTTAGCATTGTTTCACACAAGGGGTTCTGTGTTTAGCATTGTTTACACAAGGGGTTCTATGTGCACAGGAAGTGAACCAGGTGCGCAGGGTGTTGCTGAACCAGCTTGGAGGGGAGACACCAAACAGGTCCTCACCAGCCAGATTCTCATCAGGTTCCCGCACCCCAATATCGGGCACACCACAGTCATCAAGGTAGGTGTACATGGGAGAGGGGCCGTGTTGCCATAGTAGTCAAGGTAGGGCATTTAGACCATTTCACTACATTGGGGGTTTCCAGATTATTATGCTACTTGCACATTGTTTGAAAGATCTCACTGTAAGCCCATTACTCATACGTGGGTTATCTCCCTGTTGTAGACAAGGCAAGTCGTCAGACCAGAAGTTCTCATTATGGCTACAATTTTTCAAGATTATTTTATAGCTGCTTGCTCACTGGTGGCAGCCATGATACAGTTAGATCTGATGCTTGGATGCTGTAACCAAATTAGTCATTCAGGAGTTAGCTCCCCTGTGCAGACAAGGCAAGTCATCAGACCAGCGGTTCTGCTATTGCTACAATTAAAACATATGTTCTTAAATCCATAACTGAACAGCTAAAGTTTGAAACTGCAACAATTATCAATGACTATTCCATGTATTGTGTATTCTATTTGTTTGTTACAGGGCATCCACTCCATCTCTAGCGTCACGTTGTCTGGCCATCACCAGGACAGGTGCCCCCTGCCGCATGCAGTCAATGACTGGACAAGAATACTGCCATCGACACTTCAGGACGTAGACTCACACTCTTCTTATGTCTGTTTGAGCTGTTCGCCACAAATATATATAGAACAAGTTTTTACAATTTTTATTCTATACGTACAGAAACAAATAAAGGAACACTTGACAATTCAAGCATTCCTTTAATAGTTTCTAGTTTTCATCACAAGCTTTGAATAGCACTGGGGGCGGTGGGGTATCCTAATGGTTAAAGCGTTGTCTCGTCACGCCGAAGACCCGGGTACAATGTGTGAAGCCCATTTCTGGTGTCCCCCGCCGTGATGTTGCTGGAATATTGCTAAAAGCGGCGTAAAACCAAACTCAGTCAGTCAGTCAGTTGAATAGCACTGAGGTGATGAAAACGGGAAAATAATAAAGGAACGCTTGAATTTTCCTGTGTTCCTTTATTTGTTTCTATACGTTTATATTGTAAATTATGTTTAAGACCCTCTATCATCCCCCAAATAGAATAAACATTCATTTCTGTATGTTTTCAATTCCCTTATCGGTAATTATATTTGTTTTGTGTAAGATTCCACATTTGAATCATGTTTATTGTTGAAGGGATCTTATTACACGACAATACAGGATGTTCCTTAATCAATTATCGCCCAAATGTTTCTGAATGACATTAAGTAAAATGATTGATATTCAGGATATATAGAAATGGAATCAATCATGGTGGGAGTGAAGTAAAAGCTGGGGATAATCCAGGGGTGGAAATAATCCATTGCCAGACGTCTGAGTCCAGTGCTTTTTTCTGTCGGGCAAGCAAATTTGTATATCACACTGTACCGGTGTCCAGTTGACTTTCCAATGCTAATTATGTTGTTTATTTTCAAACATGTGCCACTGTACCGGAGTACACTAGCAATTTTAAAGTTATTTCCACCCCAGTAATCTTGTTTTTGTTGTAACTGGAACTGTTAATGTATAAAAGCGACCACTCAGGTACTCCTCACAATCAGGAATAAGGGAGTGATGTGAATATTTCCACTGGTTTGAAACTTTGCCCAACCATTGGAACATAGCGCTTCCAAGAATGTTGATTTCTTTATATGGTGCTAATAAAAAGAAAGGAGCTGTTTTCAGAAATTGTCAACTGTGAACTTTTAATAATTTAATTGTTTGAGCATCGAACAGTGCCTCATATACTCAGTATTGTAAGTTAGAGATAATCGTCTGTATCAACATTTTGTCGTTTTGTGCAACATTGATGATGGAGATCACATTGTTATTGTTTCAACATCGAATCCATTCACTTCCCACAGAGGTTACTTGTCATATCTTCCTACGAACCTCTGTTCTAATACGGACATATTTCCCAGTTCTCGTAAAATCCCCTAGCGGCAAAAGATCGCAACACGAATTATCTCCCTTCTTTCTATCCAATCAGAACACGTGTTACATCGACTTAGATTCAACTTGACTAACACAAGCAAATGTGGGGCCACAAATATCCCCCATCTGCCGGGGACTTGTGTTGATGTTACACACAAGACGTTTAATGGCTAGCTTGTCCGTTGTCAACGAGGGCGATGGAGATGCCACTGATCCGCCATAACATGACTCAGTTCTGTCTGGAAGAAACGTTTGCGCATCGCACAGGGGAAGAAGTTTAGTTTTCTCGAAGCATACGGAAATTACCGAGGCCTTGCGAATGATCACTTTTGAAACAACGTCGCTGATTGCACAACTAAATCTGATTGCCTCCAATCACGAGTCTTGAACGCTCACACCATGAAAGGGCCGTATTAGAACAGAGGTTACGTAGGAAGATATGACAGGAGTCACTTCTGTGGGAAGAGAATGCATCGAATCATGTTAAGTGTATATTAATAGATTGTGTGAGCTAGAACAACTGAGTATTTTGTCTCACAGATTTTCTTGGTAGAGATCCAGGAGGGAAAAAGTGTTGATTTTTTAGGTTAATTCCTCATTGTTATATTTCAAAAGTTGAAATAAAGAATATGAACAAAACATGTTTAAAAAAAATTCAGTTGATTTAAATCTGACAGCATTATGATATGTAGTATTATCCATCAATGGTTTGTGCATCCTATGTTACATTTTATACCTTGGGGGACGGTGGGGTAGCCTAATGGTTAAAGCCTTGGCTCGTCACGCCGAAGACCCGGGTTCGAATCCCCACATGGGCACAATGTGTGAAGCCCATTTCTGGTGTCCCCTGCCGTGATGTTGCTGGAATATTGCTAAAAGCGGCGTAAAACCAAACTCAGTCAGTCAGTTTTATACCTTGGACGTATTTGACTTGATCAATAGTGTGTATGTTTGGTTTGATATTGAGACAGTTGCTGTAGTTATACATAGTGATACAAGGTCATTACAACACAGTCCTTGAGTTCGGTCTGTGACGTCACTCCTAGGTGGAGCATTTCATAACAGAACACCATGTACCCATGAAGTCCTGGGGTAGAATTGATCTTCAGCAACCCTTGCTTCTCGAAGAGGCGTAACTAATGGGATCAGGTGGTCAGGCTCGCTGACTTGGTTGACACATGTCATCGTGATCCCAAATGCGTGAGGTCGATGCTCATGCTGTTGATCACAGGATTGTTTGGTCCAGACTGCCATCATATAGCTGGAAAATTGCTAAGTGTGGCATTAAACAACAAACAAACAAACAAACAGATCACCACACAAATAGTGGCAGAATATTATTGTTATTTGGTTCACTCAACTCTGTCAGGATTTATATCTACCTACTATCCATTGTGTTATGGTGAAATATACAAGAACTGGAAATAACAACTGTATTTCTGGGTCTGTGTTTGTAAAGTTGGTTAAGAAGAAGGTACATGTATATCTAAAGATTGTATGAGTGTTCAAATGTGTTCATGATATGTGACCAATGACTTCATAATGTCCATAATATTGATGGAGAATATAGGTGTTTTCATGATGTTATACATTAAAGTTTGATGACATCCTCTGTAGCAATGCCAAAATTGATTAAACTCATCGAACACTTTGGAAGTCAGTGTCTAGGAAAATATACTGATATGAAAATCTGGGCCAGATTTTTAAACGTTCGTAGCCCTACAAACTTCTTAAGCCCATTCTTAACACATTGGCTACAATCAAAGTTAAGAATTCTTAGGGCTACAAACGTTTCGAAAATCTAGGTCCTGGCCTCTGACTACTGTTCAGTTTAATTATTTCATCAAGAGCAGCTATTGATGTTGTAAGTTTGTGAGAAAAGCCTTTGGTCCACGGGCATTGGTTTTAGGGAAATGGATTCAAACATGTAACTGTGGAAACTGTATCTCTGTGAAAGTGCCTATTATCAATTTTAATACTGACTTGTCAAAAGCAGAGCTATGGGTTGTTGTTGCACGTTTTCTTAATAGATTTCTGATTGGGAAGGTACACGAATCGTAATCCCCTTTTAAGTTATATCATGGGCGGATGCAGGAATTTTTAAAGGAGGGGGTTCGAAAAAAAACAAACCCTGAAACACCACCCCCACCACCCCCCATTGGCTCTGCCAATGCAAAAAAAAAATCTTTAATTTGACCCCTCTGGATCCGCCACTGTATATGATGTCTGTGCACCAGGATGTGTTCTACAGCCTGTTTATCCAGTGTGTGACTTGTCTTACTTATACCAACATGTGTTCATTCCGGTCCTTAGTTCTCTGTGAAATATACGACTCAAAAGATGTTAAGGATCATCCATATCTTTCATATCACTATAAGGAGGCTGAGGTGGTGCAATTATCTGCCATACATGACCATAGGCAAGCTGAATTTTGAGGACCACAAAAAGGACTTTGTAGAAAGTGTGATAACACAATGCCATTTTAGAAAGTGGTCAAATGTAACATGTTATATTTGGGATTGCACTTTCTTAGTAAAGTACAAATTCTAGTACTTTTTGGGGTGGAGTCACATCCGGGGATTTGTACCCATGTAGAGAATCGAACCCAGGTGTTTGGTGTGATGAGCCAACACTTTAACCACAAGGCTACCCCACGGCCCCTATCTGAGATCGGCTTATCTACAGTCCTATACAGTAAGGTTTCTTCCCTTGGGTGTGGCAGGAAACTATGATTGTGGATTCTAGTCTGTTTCTAGGTTTGTCATCAAATTGTCTAAGACAGGCACCTCAGACTTTCCTGCTGTAATCTGATATATGCAGCTTTAAAGCCAACATGCATGTCACGACAGATTGACTGTAGTGTAATATAAAAGAATCAGATGGTCCTTAACAGATTTTGAATAGTATTTCCTCTTAAACCAAAGAATCTCTGCAGGACAATGTTTTTTTCCATCAATTATGTGAGTGAATAAAAGTCGTGATGACACCTACATCCTTGGAATCGCTACTTTAAGAGTGTAGGTGTCATTATTGTCGGAATTTATATGTATTTGACAAATGTTCCAGTGTAAAGATTATACACCAACTTTTCAGGTTGTTCTTTTGTTACATTTACTTTTGGAAATATTACGAAAAATAATTGCTAATAAATTTGAAGGATTATTTTTTTCTGATATACAATTGAAGTGAATTAAGTTCTGGGTGATGGAAATCTTTCCATTCTTTTTCTTCAAATTACTTCTTAGATGAATGGTTTGATTGTTGTATTTCAGAATATACAGTTGATACCCATGCTTGTTGTAAGATCGGGTGGTCAGGCTCGTTGACTTGGTTGACATGTCATCATATCCCAATTGTGTAGATCGATGCTCATGCTGTTGATCACTGGATTGTCTGTACACGATTGTTGACAGACCACCGCCATATAGCTGGAATATTGCTGAGTACGGCGTTAAACAACAAACATGTTGTAGTTTTTACTGAAACTTACTTGTACAGAAACGTGTGTTGATTTAACTCCAGGTATTGTGGAACCTGTGAATAACGCTGTCTTGTTTGTTGTGGGATAATCCAAATGGAAATGAATATATGATTTAAGTATGTCCATTAAAGAGTGCTTCATGTGAGAGAAAGTAGAAATTGTCTGAAATTAAAATATTTTAAGATTTGTTGTTTTGTTTAATTGTCTGTTAATAGGAAGAGAATGTCTTGGGTTACCTAAAATGAACTTGAAGAACAGTACTGTAGACGTGCAAGGGAATATTTGGATATATTTGTATGATGCATTGGATTTGTGTCTTTCTTTACTTTTCCAGTATAATATACAGGGATGAGATTTTTCTTCGGAATT